CCTTTTTCTTGCTACGTGTGCGTGTTCTTTAGATCCTCAGATGGCTCCAGCACTTTCGTGACCACGGGCCGAGAGTCTTTGCTAGATTTTGGCATTTAGCAACTGGCATACGGTTTAATGTGAAGTCAACAACAACAACAACAACTTGTTCCTATGCTCGAATCAGAGCGGATCACCTCCTGTCGACGGACTTTGCTGCATGCTGCGGCGGTGATCACACTTATCTGGGTTATGTCTTACGCCTTTCTTTATCGTGTGTCGCGATGGATCGTGCAGACCGTCGCGAAATCTCTTTGCCAGTACATTGCCGAAGGCTATGGGTGCCCTACATTATTTGCCAATTCCATGAAACTCTGTGGAATATTCTGTGAAATGCCATGGGCCTCCATGGAATGCCATGATAATTCCTTCCATGGCATGCCGTGGAAGCCAATGGAGGTCCAGAGCGGCAACGTTCGAGTGCCATGGAGTTCCACGGAGTTCCACGGAGTTCCTTGGTGTTGCGTGTTGCCAAGAGTTCCATGGTGCTCCATGGAAAGCAGTGGAACTCCGTGGAATTTCGTGGCATTTTACGGCGGCCCATGGTGCGCCATGGAGTTCCGTGGCGACAGAATCCACCGAATGTTCGGTGGAATTTCCCACGGAAGTTTCGGGAATTATCCACATAGAATATAGTATTATGTGGAGTGGCATGGCTTGCCACGGTGGTTTCCTACGAATTACATGGAAACTGCGGCATGTTGAAACGTGAACCACGCCATAAAAAAAACAGAGGTTTGCCTGATGCCGGCGTGGCTTGTGTAGAACGAGGCAGAGGCGAGTCGGCGAAAACGCTATCCCAATGCCGCGTGCTGTCGACAATATACCCCTTCGCGTGTACGTGTTAGATGTATATATATAGGCATATATATATATTGCTGTTTATCATGCGGGTTAAAATTTACAATGAGATTCCACTCGACCCGAGTTTTGGCCACGGAAACCTCCGAAATGCTACATCAAAGGCCATGGCAATATCATGGAAAATTCCGTGGAATATACCGTGGAATGATCCATGAACAATTCCAAAGAGTCCAGGAATTCATGGACAGAGTGCCTCCATGGATAAAGTTCATGACCTCCGTGAAATAATCCACGAACCCCCTACGGAGTTTAACGGAGTTCCATGGACTTGACAATGATGTGAACGTGAGGGCTATGCAAATATTGAGTGTTCAACATAGCTCGACACGCCACGCATAGCACTGGGAGTGAACCTTTCTTGGTGACGCCCAATTCTGACGGCGCGTTTGGGCCATGTCGTACACCGTTGTCGTGTACCGCTTTGGATGGTGCAGGTGCAGACCGTGTGTGAACTCTGCTGTGTGTATCCAGAGCTTTACACACACGAATGATTGTCCGTCGCAGTTTCACATATATTGGCCTCCTCTTCATTCATGTTTATCGCATGGCATCAACATTTTTTGGTGCTGCCCAGCACCCACTGCGCGTATGGGTTTGAGGTGTGGTAACAGGCATCACCTGCTGCTACCTGCCGCTGTTGAATATGCTGCACTGCACGCCCGCGATTCTTCTTGGTTTCCAGCCGTCCTTATGCTAAGTGCCAGTAGTCGCAAGTAATCACGGAGTTTTCAATAATCAAACTCTTGTTGGTCAGTTTTTACCACCAAGAGGACCGACGTCTGCTGGATGTTGAGGAAATTGTCTTTATTACCTAGGGTATAGCGGGTGCCTGTCGATTAGGGGAGACGGCCACCCGGTGGCAAAATCACCTCCCGCATAGTAGCCGGGCCACCGGTAAACATGATGTACGAAAAGAGAGGGTGAGAATAGTTGGAAGTGCGTCGTCGGAAAGAAGTGACCGTGATTGTCCGTGTGATAAAAATCATGCTACATATATACACCGTTTCGAAGCGGAAGTAGTTCCATTTTTCTTCGCATCAACGTTTAAACTTTTTCGCTTCGCTCTTTCGCCTCGCCCACGGGAATAATCTACCGAGCACGAACCGAGAGTCTCACGCCGTGCAGTGCCCTGTGTCGGCAGCTGCTGGCGTTGGAAAGTCGCGAAAAATCAGAGATTTGGGGTTCCGAGTGGTTCCGGACGGTTCAGTTTTTAATTTCTGTTTTTCGTCCACGTGGCGACGATCGTGACGTCACGACCAGCTGGGGCGGCCCCACCGCCGCCACGCCGCCGCAGCCACCTCGCCTGCAATCCTCAGCAGCAGTGTCTACCTCCGACATGCCATCCGTTCTGGCCAACTCCTCCCCGGTCGGCAAGATGGGTCGCTACCACCAGGCGGACGCCTCCGCCTCCTCTCGCGGAGGGCATGGACAGGCATCACAGCAGTAGCACAGCAACCGTACGCCGTTGTCGGCGACCTGTGACTGACATTGACTACATCGACGACATATTCAAGACCGGCAAGCTGCTCCAGCCCGCTCAATACGTACCCGGCGAAGTACAGCAAGAAGAGCGAGCGGCTGTGCCTGTCCCGTTTTCAGCCCATCTACGAGACGCCGTGCATAAACAAGTGCATAACACCAAGACACGAAAACTTGGTGGACCTGTTGTAGTATCCGTGTGTCTACAAGAACAAGTGTGTGTTCTGTGGGTAGTTTGTGGCGGCGTATTGTTGCGGTAAATGCGTGTGACAATCGGGGTTTGTACCTTCTTTTTGTCGTTCTGCTGTACGTAGCCATCATTGCGTGTGTATACTGCTAAACTAACTGCTGTATGGAGGCATCATTACGTGATACTACGTCTATAGCTATTACTTCTATTGCGCGTCAGGTGTACTGTCCAGCACCACTATCGTGGGTTCATAAGATGTCACACCCCTTGGACCGATTTTCGAAGCTCGGTGTCTCGGCAGGAAACAGTAACGGTGCCGATAATGGCGGCATTGGAACCGCCTCGTCGAGAGCCGAACACGTATTTTTGTACTTCAATGTCGTCGTCCTCTTCGTCATCGAGTAAAAGCGCGAAAATCGGCCTAGATGGTTATCTCGTGCAACATACGGACGGTAGCAAGTCGAACATGTGT